GCTCTTCCCTGTTTTTCCGGCACCTCTAAAATACCACATTTCAATGCAGACCTCACAGGCTCTTTATTAAAAAAACTTGTTGCAATTTTTAGATTTCTTTTTATCTTTCCCAGGCACTCAATGGGCTTTTTCTTTCGCTGCTGTCAACTCCAGACTAGAAGGCCCCTCAGAAGGAAAAAAAAGGCTGCCAGCGGTGCTCCCTTTGTTTAAAATAAGCCTGGGTTGTATTTTTTTTTTTCCCTCCTGTGGTCATGTTCCCTTTCCCACTATGCTCCATCATTCTTCCAAGCTGGTATCAGTTATGCAATGCTAGGCCAGCAAAGTTCTCAAAGAGACAAATCACAATATAATGTAACTCATTTTACTTCCAAACTATCACTTTCGGAGTCTTAAATTTACTGAGTTCCTCTGATAAAGGTCACCGCTGGAATAAATATCAAAAGAAAAATTGTATATGCTCCCTTTTAATTTAATCCCTTTATTTATGGTTAGCAGCTCTCTTGCACCTTCTTCAATAGTAATCCAACCCCCTTGCTGTGTTGACCTGTTAAATTAACGTAGCTGAGGCTCGTTTTGCTCAGATTCAGTCAAGATACAAATAGCACTTCTAATGCATACAGTAATTTTCTCCATTATCATTAGGTACTCATCTCTAAAGACTCTGTAAAAGCTCAAGTAAAATCTAATTATACAGCCTTTCTCCCTCATCTCTAGTAAAACATGGAAGTACATATTATTCTGACTCACCTTCTTATCCCAAGAAATGAGAAGAATGGTGTTCAGAAACAGCTGAGAAAAAAAGCTGGATATGACTTGGACTTTTTGATAGTTAGATGGATAATCTATTGGAATCTCAGCCTCCAAAGAAATGATTAATCATTGGGTGGATATTTGTTGTGTTTTGACAGGAGGAAGAGGAAACAGAACTGGCAGTGGTCTGTCTGCAGAAGTTGCTCCGAGGCAGGGCTATTCAGAACATGGTATTCTGCATCTATTTATGTCTCTCTTCTGAATGATGGTGGGAATGATTGAAAGTGTGTTTGCAATCTTTCTTCCACAGCGCTAATCGAGGGTAATGAGGCTTCTGCAGCATATCCTCCTGTATGTTATCTGGTGTCCTTCAAGGCTGAAGTCTTTGCTTTCCAGTTACAATTTCTTACAGGAGCTTCTAGGTTCCCACACATGTCTGTGAGTGTCTCCCTGGTTCCTGCCATCCCCTACACTCAGCTGCTTAATTTGATGCTTCATAGCAGAATTACTCAAATGGCAAATTCTAGACTAGATCTGGACCATGAGTTTGGTTTGCCTTGATTATGCCAAGATCCCAGCACAAGAAGCCTACCACATCCCAGCAGGGCAGCTTGTATTTCATACTGTCTTTCCAGTTTCCTGTGATGGTGAGCTGAACCTTAGACGAGGAGCAACTTAAGCATACCGCCAGGATTTTCCAGCACCTGCAGGGCCCATCATTCTGCTTTCAGTGAAGCAGAAGTGGGTCTAGGTAAAAATTCATTGAGTAACCAGGCAGGTCTTGCCAATCAAACCTGATCACCTTCTATGATGGGGTGACCCACCTGGTTGACGAGGGAAGGGCTGTGGATGTAGTTTTCCTTGACCTCAGTAAAGCCTTTGATACAGTTTCTCATAGTGTTCTGGTTGAGAAACTGATAACTGCTGGCCTGGATAGGCACACCCTCCTTTGGGTTAAAAACTGGCTGGATGGCCGGGCCCAAAGGGTGGTGGTAAATGGGGCTAAATCCGGCTGGAGGCCGGTCACCAGTGGGGCTCCCCAGGGCTCAGTGCTGGGTCCAGTTCTGTTTAACATCTTTATCAATGACCTGGATGAGGGGATTGAATGCACCCTCGGTAAATTTGCGGACAACACCAAGCTGGGAGGCTGTGTCGATCTGCTCGAGGGTAGGGAGGCCCTTCAGAGGGATTTGAACAGACTGGATAGTTGGGCTGAGGCCAATGGCATGAGCTTTAATAAGGCCAAGTGCAGAGTCCTTCACTTGGGGTATAAAAACCCCAAGCATCGCTATAGGCTCAGGGAAGAATGGCTGGAGAGCTGCCTGGCGGAGAAGGACCTGGGGGTGTTGGTTGACTACCGGCTTGATATGAGCCAGCAGTGTGACCAGGTGGCCAAAAAGGCCAATGGGATACTGGCGTGTATCAAGAATAGTGTGACCAGCAGGAGCAGGGAAGTGATCCTGCCCCTGTACTCGGCACTGGTGAGGCCGCACCTGGAATATTGTGTCCAGTTTTGGGCCCCTCGCTTTAAGAGAGATATTGAGCTCCTGGAGCGAGTCCAAAGAAGGGCAACTAAACTGGTCAAGGGGCTGGAAAATAAAACTTATGAGGAGCGGCTGAGGGAGTTGGGGCTGTTTAGCCTGGAGAAGAGGAGGCTGAGGGGAGACCTGATTACGGCCTATAAATACTTGAGAAAAGATGGTGGGGAGGTAGGGGAAGGGCTCTTTACATTAGTGATGGGAGATAGAACAAGAGGAAATGGGCATAAGCTTAGTCAGGGGAGATTCAGGTTGGATGTTAGGAAGTATTTCTTCTCTGAAAGGGTTGTCAGCCACTGGAATAAGCTGCCCAGGGAAGTGGTTGAGTCCCCATCCCTGGATGTGTTTAAGAATAGGGTGGATGAGCTACTTGAGGATATGGTTTAATGGGGATTAGGGATGGTTGGACTCGATGATCTCTAAGGTCTTTTCCAACCTAGAAAATCTATGAATCTATGAATCTATGAACAAACCTGACTATCATCTTTGCAAAACAAAGTGATCAGTGTAAGAGAAGTCGGTGACACTGTGCTGGGAAGGAGCTAATTGAGCTGCTCAAGCAGATTGCTCCTTTAACACCACCCGCCCTCAGTTTAATACCACTGTTTTAATGACTGCAGTAACCAATTGCATCAACTAATTTAGGGAATGTCCAAGATAATGAGGAGTTTGTCCTGTAGCAAAAAGATTTCCAATGAAGAGTAAAATGTTAGAGGCCCAGAGTTTGCTGCAAATAGCAGATTTTGATAATTGGTGAGAATGGAAAGGAGAAAAACAGATGTGAAAGAAAGTGAAATACTTTATGATTGCATTATCTGACAGTTGACATCCCTATGCACAGGGATACATAATATCCCCCACATATTAAGGCTGCACAGCATTTCCCATAAAAATATTTTGGACTCACTTGCTTATCATTTTCTTAAAGCTTAAGCATTACACTAAAATTTTCATGCTGAATGTTCCAGAAAGTTAAAATGAAAGTGATTCAGGCCGTTTCCAAGAACGAGGCTAACAAAAACGCATTTTTCCCCATTTCAAGCATGTCAGTCTTTTATCTGAGACACTTCCTCACCCTCACACCATACAAATTGGAACTGTAGCTTCTATGGGTCTCAAGAAACCCCATTCAAACTAGACCACGATTTACGACTTTTTGAAAAATCAAAGGCCACGCAGATCTGTGGAGGCTTCTTAGCATATAGTGGACAAAAAGCCATCCCCAAACCATCCCTGGAAACTAAACCCTGGCTGAGTATGCTCCACCTCCTTGCAGCAGCTAGAGCACCCTGCTCCTGGGCTGTCTGCAGGTGGTGGCCAAGCCCACCTGTGAGTCATTGAGTCATTGCAGGTACTGTTGGTGGGATTGGAGCAGTGAGCTGACAGCAAAGCGGGGTTTCTCTTACAAAGGTAGTGACCACCATGCATGGTGGAAGAAACTGTGAAAGCCAGTTGTGGGAGGAAAGCAGTAAATCTGGTTGAAGAACCTGTTGTGACTGGGGCTGGAATAGCTGGGGGAGGAGGTGGTGGAAGAAGGAAAGATGGTATGACCAGGACAGAGTAGGGAAGATGGGGAGCTTCGTTTGCTGAATCAACAAAGAATAGGAATGAGGATAGAGAGAAGGGTTAAACCTCCAAGGATTCAAGGTCTGGGAGCAGCTGTTGGGTGAAATATAAGGCAAGGGATTAGGGGAAAGAGCAGGGGTGAAAAAATGTGTGATGGTAGGACAAGCCAGGTGATTAGGAGTGGGATGGAGGTAGGGTATGAGTGTGATGCAATTAGTGAAGGCAAGAGGAAAGAAAGGAGAGACCCTGACTTGACAATGATGGGGCAGGGAGCAGAGGCGGTAGCGAAGGAGCTGTTTGTTTTCAAGGGTATGGAAAAAAAATAGGACTGGAGAGAACACGGATGGAAACAAGCAAAAAGCTCCTGGTGGGACATGTTGCTCTGTGGAGTTTTGGAGGGAACCCAGGTGTCCCGAGATGCTCATCTCATCTGCTGCCAGCATGTGGATTTGAAAGGCAAGCCTCTGATGCTGGTGAGCAGCACAGCCATCTCTTCTACTGCCACCCTTACCTTCATCAGCTGGAGAGGGCACAGTCAGTCAGCTGGGTTGCCTCTGCCAGTCCCTGGAAGAGGTCCCTCTGGTGGATCTGTTACAAGATTGTTAATGAACCTGGTGGATGTACGTTATCATGGCATCTTGCTGGGCTGAATTGGCTTTAAAACAAACAACCCAGGACCTTACAAAGCAGCATGCTGTAATCTGTGCCAAAAGGGCTCAGAAATCAAGCATTCAGAAGTTAGGGAAGGCTGGAATTAAAACAATTCGTGCAAACTTAATTTGGCTTCATTTTGGCATGTATGACTTTGTGGAAAACAGGCCTGGAAGGGACCTCAAGAAGCCATCTGGGGACTCCAGTCCCTCTCTTTCCCCCAAGGCAGGACCAATTATTCCTAGACTATTTTTGACAAATGTTTCTCCAATCTTCTCTTGTGAGACAGCCGTTAACAACATGAGTGTGTATGTATTTCTTAACGGGATCCTGCCTCAATGCATAGAATATACCAGGACCATACTGTGGAGGAGAGCGGGAACACAGCTGGAGAAAAGACAGGCTCATGATTCAGCTTGCAGACTGCTGCCCTGGAGAACTGCCTCTGCTTCAGAGTTCCTGGGTGGTTATTTAAATCAGACTTCTCCCAGGTCGTCATTAACTGTGTTTTCTCCATTTTCTGAGTGTTCAGCTTGAAAATACTGCCTCTGATTTAATCATCCATGCTTGGTGCCCTGTTTCGACACCGTGTTAAGGCTTTAATTTTACGACCACCACACAAACAGCCCAGCGCGTGTTGCACTGGTTGCCATAGAGTGGGAAATGAAACTGAAATCCTGATGTGCTGTGCTCAGCACTGGCTGTCCTAGGTCACTTGTCTCCCCCTTCTCATCTGACACTGCCCTGTGCCCCCTGTCAGCCCCCATCTCCCCACACCTTGCTTATTCTGCTCAAAGCACATGTACAGAACCTCACTCATGAATGATGGTTCCCAGTTCCTGTATTTTGTTTGTGGACAACTCCTCTGACTATTTTATGAAGTTCAGGTTTCTCCATAACCACCTCATCCTCAGAGGTATTCAGTGCAATTAATTACACCAGTAATGTCTATAATTACCTCAGGGAAAAATCAGCAAGATGCCTAAGAATCGTCATTCAGGACATCAGGAACTGCTGTAGTGGATCACAGAATCATCACAGGATTGTGGAGGATGGAAGGGACCTCTGAAGATCATCTCGTCCAACCCTCTCTTGCTCAAGGAGGGTCAGCTAGAGCTGGTTACCCAGGACTGTGTCCAGTCAGGCTTTGTATATTTCCAGAAGTAGAGACTCCATAACCTCTCTGGCCAACCTACTCCAGTCTTTGATCACCCCGATAATAAAAAGAGTGTTTTCTTGTGTTCAGGTGGAGTTTCACGTGTTTTAAATAGTGCCTACTGCTTCTTGTCCTGTCAGTGGGCACCCATCTCCCTCTTCTCCATTCCCTCCCACCAGGTATTTATAGACATTGGTGAGATTCCCCCTGAGCCTTTTCTTCTCTAGGTTGAACAATCCCAGCTCTCTGTGTCTTCCCTCACATGGGAGAGGCTCCAGTCCCTTAAATCGTCTTCATGATCCTTTGCCGGACTCGCTCCAGTAAGTCCATGTCTTTCTCGTACTGAGGAGCCCAGAACAGGGCACAGGACTCCTAGTGTGGCCTCCCTGCTGCTGAGTAGAGGGGAAAGATCACTCCTCTTGACCTGCTGGCAATGCTTTTCCTAACATGGCCCAGGATGTTGCTGGCTTTCTTTGCTGCGAGGGCACACTGCTGGCTCATGGCCAGCTTCACGTCCACCAGAACCCCTCAGGTCTTTCTCTGCAGAGCCCCCAGCATGTGCTGGTGCATGGGGCTATTCCTTCGCAGGTGTAGGACTTTGCATTTCCCTTTGTTGAACTTCATGGGATTCCTCTCTGCCCAATTCCCCAGCCTGTCTGGCTTGCTCTAGATGGCAGCACACCATCTGGTGTATCAGCTCCTCCTGGCTTTGTATAATCTGTAAACTTGCCAAAAGTGTACTCTGCCCCTTCATCCAGATCATTAATGAAGATGTTAAACACCGTAAGACCTAGTAACAGGATATACCATGAGGGACTGGCCTCTAGCTGGACTCTGTGCAGCTGATCATGATGCTCTGGGTCCGGCCATTTTTTGATCCACCTCACTGTCCATTTATCTAACCCATACTTCGTCAGCTTGTCTATAGGGATGTTATGGGAGACAGTGTCAAAAGCCTTACTAAAGCCAAGGCAGACAACATCTACTGCTCTCCTCTCATTCACCAAGCCAGCCATCTTGCTGTGGAAAGCTGTCGGGTTGGGTAAGCCTGATTTCCCCTTTGTAAATCCATGCTGACTACACTCGGCCACCTCCTTGTTCTTCATGTGTCTTGAAATGTTTTCCATGACTTCTTGCTCCATTGTCTTTTCAGGGATTGAGGTGAGGCTGCCCTGACTGTAGTTTCCCAAATCCTCCTTCCTGAAGACAGAAGTGACATTTGTTTTCTTCCAGGCCTCAGGAACCTCTCCTGATTGCCATGATCTTTCAAAGATCAATGACATTAGCCGGCTCCCTCAGCATTTTCAGGCCCTTCTCTCAGAGAGCTGGGATTGCTGAAGGACACTCTCACCAGTAAGGCTTCCTCCTGGGTCACCTACCCCTGCTTCCACCTTTTGTACATTTCCTTTTTATGTCCGAGTTTAGTCATGAGCTCCTTGTTCATTCACACACGCCTCCTGCCACCTTTGCTTGATTTTCTTCTTGTCAGGATGAACCACTCTTGAACTTCGAGGAGATGATCCTTGATTATCAAACAGCTCAGCCCCTGGTTTCTAGTCCAGTAACTTGTTCCTGATTGTAGTCAGGACAAGATGTTTCAGAGCGTTCTATAATCCTTCCCATACTTCCACACTTGGAGAGTAAATCGAATTCCAAAAGCGTGTTTCATACCCCTTATGACAAAAGGAGTTTTAGTACTACCTGCTTCAGAGGTCAGTATTATCCAAGTACTTGCCCATCAGTGATATCCTGCACCAGTGACTTTAATAGTCCAGTTAGAAATATGACTGTCTTCCTGTCACCCAGTGGGAGGCTTCTTACCCCAGAGCCCACTTACTAGGCAAGTCTTTCTAGGGTCCTTCTATAGGTGTGGAGAAAAGAGAGACTCCTCTAGGTGAAGTTTAAGAGCAACCCCACTTGAGAAATAGAATCATCACCTGGAGAAGTCTCTCACCTTCCAGTGACCTTCCAAACTCCTCTTTTAACTACCCAACACATACAATAACTGCTTAATTTAAAAATACTTCCTTCTACTGCTTTTGAAAGTGCCACCTTTCCCATTAGTGGCATTGTCCCCTTGCTCCCGTGCTATGAGGCAAAGAGAATATCTTTTGAACTCGGAATGGCATCATCAGCTTGATATGGCTTAAATCCAGCCCAATTAAGAATAAATAAATGTAGCACTTCCTTTAAGTCAGATGTCCTGAAATAACTCCTTTATAAAAAAGCATTGTTAATCCTTTTTCTGCTCGTAGGCTCTTTTCTTCGCGGTCATTTGGAGTGACTGCTGCTCCAATCACGCTCACCCATTTCCTTTCTGTGTCCTTACATGCCTACTCAGTGTTGCCTGTTGAGTTCAGCTTTGCTCTTGCTGCTGGCTTGCAGCCTCTCGCAAGGAGGTCTGAGAGGAGTGCTCATCCAAGTCTTGCAGAACAGCATGTGAGCTGGGCGAGATCGGGAGATAAGCGTTGCTGACCATTAGCAGAACAATGGACTGTACGCTCAGTGCTCTGAAATACACAAAATAAACAGGGAGGGAGAAAAAAAAATAGGTTGCTCATAACAATCACGGTCACAAAATGTTCATGAGGAAATGAGATTCTGGAAAAGATTTTTTTTTTTTTTTTTAAAGAATGCAATAGTTTCCATTGATTTCTAGGGCTTTTTGGTGCTTTCATGCTACTGGTTTCTTGTCTCCAGCCAGTTAGATCTTGCTGCCTGATCTGAATC